GAGAGGTGGCCTTGACCGGAGTCCATGGACAGTGTTGCCTGACTGCATCCTGATAATGCATCTGGATTGATAAATAGATTCAAGGTCACTTCTGTGTCTGTTTGTGTGCACAATGAAAATTTCTTTTGACGTTGCTTGGCATGAGCGCTCTGTTGAGACTTGCAGTTGAGCAAGAAGTGATAAAATCTGGTTTATCAGGAAAGACAACTAAAAGAACAACAAATACAACTGAAGCACATGCATTGTTGCAAAGTGTGAGCATGTCAGAGTGATGAATCATTAATCTATTTGGAAATACTAACAAGTCTCAGCAAAGATTTACTAGAAAAAAATAAAACAACATAGTAAAGCAGCACACCTGAAACTGCAGCCGTAAGCCTGATGAGTTAGTAACAACCATGCCTTAATGTACAACCCCCCAAAACTATTATTGTTCAACTCAGGTACCAAAAAGTTGGAATGACATGCAAAATAAAAACAAAAATCAGGGATTTAAAAATTTCATAAATCCATATTTAATTCATGATATAACACATGTATATATAGAAATGTTAAGAACTAACTTTGTAGTTGTGCACATTCATTCCTGTCTGATCCCTCCCAGATTCAGTAAGCTCAAGTGATCAAAGTACCTTCATCTTATAATACAATAAATACTGCAGGGATAAATACATGGATGTGTGTTTTGTCTTTCTTGAGCACCTGTGGGTGCTAAAAAGGTTGAAAATCACAAAGCAGAGGAACTGTTAGCTATGATCTCTCTTTCAATAAAGTGTTCGTCTCAGTTCAAGGTCTTCAGCGCAAGTTAATAACGGTTTTTTATAAAATTTTCATCACAAGATTTTACCCGCACTTATCATTTTTACCAAAAGAGATCAAAAGAATGGAAAAGAAGAAAGTACTAAGTTTAAAGGCCAAAACACTGGTGCACAGCAAGCTTTGAGTTTCTTAAGAGGCGTCTGGGCAGCCTGGAAACCCATGCAAAGCTGGGCAGTTGCAGAATGGCAGATAACTATGCAAAAGGAGTAGCGTAACAGAGTGATTCTGACTGGCATAAGGTCTAGCTGCAAACGGCATCGTTGACAAGACAGCGCAGATAAGGGTCGCAGGATACCCTATAGTGATAAAAACAACCTGACAGAGACGCTCAGTTACAGCCAGACTTAAGTACACAGCCTTTGATGAACAGATCGCTTGCACATATGTGGCAGCAAGCTCATAGACTCGGCTCCACCTAGGGGTGGAAAAAAGGTGGATCCACTCTTCACACCACCTACAACGTAAGAGAGAAAAACAAAGACACAGGTGTGTTCCAGAAGCACCTCCTGTCTTCTTTCCTTGACCTTGATGACATTAAAGTTAAGGAAAAGAAGTCAGGGGAACTGATAAGGACTTGGGAAAAGAGAAGAGCCATTCTACAATTGGAACTGCTGTACACTCATCTCTGTTTAACAATGTGAAGACTGAACAGACTGTGGAAATCAAAGGCTGGCATTTTAAATAAGGAACTTTTAATGCATGTCTGCAGCAGCCAAAAACCTTCCTTTGAAATTAAAAAGCTTTTGAATTTACAAAAGAAGCTCAGAGTCAGTTTTGTGACTGCAAAAGTTCAAACTCTTGCCAAGTATATTTGTCTAATTTCTATCAATAATATCTCATCACACTTAAAATAAGACACAATCAGCTACAGAGTAACATTTCAGTGAGAATAAGAAACTTGTTTTTAGACATTTTCCCTTGTTCCATTGGCACATTTTTTTCCACTCAATAGAAGATATATTTGCTTCAAATAAGTGAAAAAATCTGCTAATGGAACAAGGGAAAATTCTCCAGACCCCGGGGAAAGTGGCAGCAGCACGGCCGGTGATGATGTGGTGTGGTGGATGAATGTGGACGTGCAGACCGAGCAGCACACAGACGTATCTGAAGGCTCTTGGGAGGCTTGGCTGGTGGCAAGAGCACGAGGCCAGATCAGGCAGGACCAGACGAGGCAGGACTAGACGGTGGCGTGGCAGCCGCGGGCGGTTGATTGAGCTGTAGGTGGAGCTGACAGCTGAACAGACTTTCCAGAGCTGCCAGCGGAAACAGACGGTGGCGTGGAAGCCAAGGAGTGTTGGACCGCTTCACTGGAGCCCCCAGCAGAAACAGACAATGGCGTGGGAGGCGTGGAGTGCTGAAGCGGCTCCCACTCAGGTGGCTGAGCAAATCACTGAGTAGATGATTGAGCTAGTAACTGAGCTAATGACTCAGCTAGTGACAGAAGTGATGGTTGAAGTGGTGGTTGAGCTGATTCTCCAGAACCTCCAGTACAGGAGACAGGATCAGGTGCTGGCAGCTGCTCACACACAAAGAGTAGGTATGGGTGCAGAGGTAGACTGTGTCCTGGTTGGCCTCACCCTGGGAACCCGCAATGGTTTTGGGGGCAGACCGGACACCAGTCATTCCCACCTGATGAGTAGGTACGGGTCCAGGAGTGACCGCATCCTGCGAGTCCGGACAAGCACTGGCAATGTCTAGTCTGCTGTCCCCACATGAGGAGCAGGCTGCCTCAGCCAGCCTTGAACAGAGGAGCAGGCTCAGAAAAAACAGACTTAGCAAATATCAGAGTAAAACTTTCCCCCCCACGGCTAACAGTCTTTGAAAAAACAGTCTTAGCAGTCTCTGAGGTTACACCTCAAGCCTCAGAAGGAGCAGTGCACAAACACTTTCTTAAATCCAGTGAATCAGCTTCCTCAGAATAAACTGTCGTGGGTTTGGCAGTGTTTGAAGAGTGATTTTCTTTCATTTTAACCAGCTCGGGGTGTCCTGCATCCTCACTAATGCAGATGAATCCTCCCCCTTTCAATTACAACGTGGAGTCCGACAGGGGGACCCCCTCTCACCTCTTCTTTTTGATATAGCTCTGGAGTCCCTTGCTATTAACATAAGAAACCACCCAGGCATACAGGGAGTCAAATTTGGGAATACTGAAAGTCTTGTTAATATGTATGCAGATGATTTATTGATCTGTTTTTCCGAACCAGAAATTTCACTTCCTAATCTTTTAAATTGCATTAAACACTTTGGGAAATTATCAGGATATATGATCAATTGGGACAAATCTGAATTCATGCCGATAACAGATCATTTATGCCCAAAGTTTCTCAGCTCACTCCCATTTAAATTAGTGACTTTAGTCACTAAATGGCCTTAAGATTCCTAAAAATCCAAAACTTTAAAAATTGAACATCTTGGAAATCCTGGATAAGCTCAAAGAGGATATTAGAAAATGGAAATGTCACGGTTCTGGGTCTGTTGGACCCAGTATTTTGAGTTT